TTTCTCGGTCAAATAGGCACCAAATTCAAAATTTATGTTACATTTCGACTACATATATAACCCAAGATTAATGTTTCCACGGGTGAAATGCTTCTTTAACACACAGGTGAGGTTGACACAGGTGACACTGATCGGGGTGTAATAAACAAAACTGGTGGCAAAACAGACACATAGTGACACATAAGGAACAACTCTTTCAAAGTAAAACAGGAAATAACGAAAAACCCCAAAACCACAACAATAAGAGTCTTTAAAAGATCCAGTGTTTAACATAAGAATCTATTGGGAGAAATTCCCTAAAATTCAACTTGGATCCATTTTCATTGTTGATGATAAACGCTGTGATGGAGAGCCATAAACAGCCATAAAGTATAACGTTATAAAGAATAATAATATTGTGCAAATTAAAAGTGTATTCTTTGATTGAAGATCACAAATTGTGTTGAAATGAAAGTTTGTGAAACTAAATTAATGAAATGTGTTCAAATAGTGCAATTTATCTCACAATTTCAACCTTTTATCTCATAAATGATCATTATTATAATATAATGAGGTGTTACAAGGTGTTAGCTGATCTCAGATTTGTATATTGTGTGTGTATATGAGACGTTTTGTCCTGATGGTTAAATAATCGTGATCACAGTGTTTGTGAAACTAAATTAACAAGCTTTGTTTGACACATTTTAGGGTAATTTAGTGAAGGAAAAAGTTTCTTTAATGATTAAACTCACTGCTGGTTTCAGATGATGCCCCGCCCTCCACACACACACACACACACACACACACACACATTAATGCCCTCACACTCCTTACATGGTGCTCTGCCTCCGGTCTGCTGGGGGCCCGAGGCTCCAGGGGCCTCTAGAGTTTCCTCAGCAGCTAACTTTATCCAGTCGGGGTGGGGGGAATGTGAGGAGACGCCTCAGAGTTATATTCAGATCGTGTGACTTCACCAAAGACTCCCTTTAAGATACGTTGCGTTTTTTCTCCGTCACCATTTTAACACCATCTGTCAGCGTAAAGATATTTCTGAGCAGTTTTGTCACGTAAACACTGTTTCAGAATAGAAAGTTAACACAACGAGCAGAAAACTTCTTCCTTCAACACAGTTGCTTTAAATTATTATATCTTGCTCAGTTTGTAAAAGCTCCAGTGAATCTAAACAACTGGAGCAGTAAGTTACAGTATAAAGGCAGCTGCTGCTAACTGCTGCTACCACAGTGAGTACAGTTGTGTATATATATATATATATACACTGTCAATGAGCAGTACTCAGCACATACTACACTCAGATTAAATACAACCCTTTAACCTATAACACCTTCTTTATTCTTGTTATGGACTGATAAATCTGCTCTCTGCATAACAGAATTGACTCTCTAACATGTTAAACATGTTTAACGTGTGCAGATGTGACCTGCCATCTGTATGTACCTGTGAAAATATTACCGGCCTGTTTTTACGATCTTTTTTAATATGCTGAAGTTCGGTCTTAATGGCCATCACTGAGGTTAATAAACGTTCCTCTGTGAGCCAGCTGCTCCCACATCTGCCTGAAATAAAGCACAGCAGGACGCCATGACATCATCAGCAAAACGTCAACATGAACAAAATATAAATATAACCATCGGGGCCTCGTTGGTTTGGTAGCAGCAGCTGGAGGACGTCAGAGGGAAAACCAGAAAATATGTTCCAAATATTACACTTATTACACACTTTATCAAACCTCTCTGCTGTAAACTGTTAAACTGTAAATATTAAATATATTTTATATATTTTTATACTGATGGAACATCACTGTTTACCTCATCATATTTATATATTTTATCTTGTTTTTATTGATGCTGCTGGTTGCTGAGAGTCACCAAAACTGAATAAAGTTGTGTTTTTGTACAGTGACAATAAAGTTGTGTGTTTGTACAGTGATAATTAAGTTTCGTTTTACTGATAATAAAGTTATCAGTGATTAAAGAAACTCTGTGCTAATGAATCTTAGCGTTTTGTTTTACAGGAAAAATGTTTATTTTGATATAAAAATACAAACAGATAGATTTTGTTAAACAGGTAAAATATAACTGAGGATCTTAAAGGGTTAAAAAGGTCGTTTTCAGAGGTCAGAAAAACAGACATTTTTATTTTTAATTTCCACTAACAAAGATAACCTCAAACAACTGAAAGATTAAAGACCATTTTATCATTAATTATCTAATAATAATTACAGTTTTATCTTCATTTGAAGCAAAAACCTGCTGGTTTTCTTTCCTGCTGCTTAATCAGGTTCTAATTTACAGGCAGGTGGAAGCAGTTAGTTTTAATTAGCTGTAAAAACACTCAGCAGCAACACTCACACTTCACAGGAAAACATTTTCTCTCTTCTGTTTCGTCCTCATGCAAAACTACAGGCTGACACTGGGAGGTCAGAGGTCAGAGGTCGGGACCAACATGGTTCTCTGAAAACTGACACTGGTTGAACAAAAGCTGATGGAAGATGCTATTTCTGTGTAACTCGTGTAAAAATAACCAAAATAAAGACAAGAACTGAATATTTTACACCACAGTTTATATATTCTATGCACGCATCAGGAAGGTCAAAGGTCACATGTCCATGGTGAATACAGACGCTGAATCACACAAATATTTCAGAATAAAAGCGTCTCCTGATGATCAGCTGTTAGAGGTCGTCCTGTTAATGTAGATGAACGGTCAGTAGGGGGCGTGTTTGTTCTGTTTGTCTGATCAGCAGCTCTGCAGTTTAAAGTGTCAGCTCAGGATCAGATTATTGATTAGATATAGATTGGTTTAAATAAACATTACATGGGAAGGATGGGTGACTTTTCAGGAACTTTCTTTTTATTATTTTTTATTATTTTTGGGAAGTAAAAGTTGGACTGATGGATGTTTTAACTTATGTGCATAAATATGAGTGAAAACTTAATTAATACTGTAGATTTAAAACAAAACAAATGTCTGCGAGAGAAGATATTATTTACCTCTTTGTCAATAAGAGCCATATTGATTGAACTGTATTTGGATATTCTGCCT